GGAAGGCCGCGCGGGGACCGCACCCGTGTTCGGCCTGCGTGAGCCCCCGAACCGCGCCCGGGACTTGTCGGAGAGCGCTCCTGGGCCTAGGCCGTGCCGTGCTAGGCCATGCCATACCGCGCTGCACCGCGCCACGCCACGCCACAGGCCCTGGCCCACCGCTCCGGCACGTGCCCTGCGGGCTTTGATTTACAGGCTCTAAGGTAACAACTGGGTCGTGAAGTTAATTGAGCTCCTTAACGCCACCGCAAGCTTCCCCTGCACAGCCTTCACTTCCTCTATGCTTTGTGTTTCCTCTGTAGGTCCCTTGTTCCAGCCTAACCCCATCTCCTCCTACCAAGACGCATCCCCTGTGACCAGACCCAAATGCAGTTTTCAAAGCCGACTGGGTCATTTGTTGCTCCAAGACTGTGGAGGTTCTGAAACGTGGAAATCTTACACCCACCCCCAGTCTTATACCCACTGTCCCAAGGCCGTGCTTTTATCTGCCGACTCCCTCACAGGCTTCCCTAAGTGTGGTTTTGGCTGTTCCGGTCCAGTAAGCAGACTGAAATGCGGAGATAGTTTCTAATTGTAAACCCAGCTTATTTACACATCCTGCTGTATATCTGGCGTACTGTACCCGAAATGTGGAGATAGCCCCTAATTGCAAGCCCAGCTTATCAACACATCCAGCTGTGTATTATATATCATGCTTGCTGTCACAAGAATCTGTCTAATGAGAAAGTATACCGGTTTAGACTGGGTTAGTAGTTGGCACAACACCCGAAGGAGCATAGAGCATGCACCACCACCTAAGGTGAAAAGTTCATAAGGAGGAAGACTTCGGGCCTTCCTCCAAGAGACCCCAGCCCGCAACCACCAGATAGCAGTGCGCAGGCATCAGTAGGAGAAGAAATATGGTAATGGCTTATTTTAATAACCCCACCTCACTCCTTGGTAACATGATGAATATGGATCACGTCTCTATGCATATGAATGAATGAATGTCATAAATACCCTCATGTCCGTCCCTGCGGTGTGCAAGCTAGGAGGAGCTATCCCCCTTGCACCCGGCGCCGTAGTAGACATACCTGCTTTATAACTCTTTGTGGGTTGCGAAGTTTGTTTCCGCACGTCAAGACAGGGCAATGAAGTCCCTAGTAGTTCTACAGCTCGTGATGTGTAGCAGCAAGCTGCTCAGACAAGCACTAGTTAAAGCTCCCCCTGTTCATATGCTAGACAGGGGAAAGGTGAGCACAAAAATAAAGGTTGCAATAGAAAAGGCCCACAAAATTAAATCACCATATCCTATTCAATTACAGGCATGCAGTATTTCTTTGCCTTGCAGGAAGCAGTGCACATGGCTATATAGCAAAGTTAGAATGCTATTCAGCCACTCTTGTCACAAAGACCGTTTAAATATCTTAGCTAGAGACATCCAGTCTTCTATTCTACAATTAACCCACACAAAAAAAACGCATACCAAATCATACCTACTTTAGCTAGAGTTCTGCTAGTAGTTGTAGGATTGCTGCTTTAAAGGGTACATCAGCTTAGCTGTATCAGATTTAAAGGATTCATTCACAGAAAAGTATGATAACATTTCTTTTGAGGAGAACTGCAGAAATGAGCTATCCAGATTAAAGAGCAGCGAAGCAGATCGCCTGGGGAAAGATACCGTAGGATCATGCATGGTTTTGAGAAAGGACCGAGAACTATTTGGTAGTCGGGTGATAGCAAAAAGCCTGCTATTTGATTGTTCTACAAAACTCCACTGCACTTTTTTAAAAGAGAATAAAGAAAAGGTCCTAGAGCCTGAACTACCACCTAGTTTTGCTTTGAAGCAATTGTTCCAGGCATTCTAGTGTAAAGAGTAGAAAGTTTTGATAAAACCAGACTGACAAAAGTACATGAAATGCCTTCAATTCTCAGTATTAGAAAGAAACCTCAGAACAGGTTTGAAAGTTCAGGTCTAACAATAGGGACAGAAAAGGTGCTGAAGGGCTGGAATAAAAAAGTAGTGATGCTGAAAGGAGGAGCAATAAGTGGAAGTGTTTCTAGAAGAACCACAGAAAATAAAGTTTTACTATTTTACTACTACTTCTGGCTCAGAGCTCTTCTACGTTTGGGAAGAAACAATCCAAAGGAAATACAGTGATTTAAAGTACGCAACAGTTCTTTACTGAAGCAGAACAGCTGTTTGATTAACATGCTGATCGCCTCTTTGAAGGCAGAGTCATGGGCAGTTTATGAAATTTGCAGGAAAATCCCTATTTCAGCTCCCAAACCTAATGCACCATTGACAATGAGTCAGTTGGGTTACAGCTTGAGTAGCCTTGCCCTACGCTGC